GTGAGGCGTGTGGAGAAGGGGCAGCTGCTGGAGTACATGCTGACCGACCTCCGCGTGCCCCACAGCTACGAGGTCCGCCTCACGCCCTACACCACCTATGGGGCCGGTGACATGGCCTCCCGCATCATCCACTACACAGAGCGTAGGTGGTGGTGGTGGTGGGAGTGCGAAGGGCGGGTCCATCTGGTGTCCAGGGGATCCCCTCCCCCCTTCCCACACGGTCCCTGAGCGTGGGTCCCACCACTGTGCTGTGTCCTGCTCTGTCTCTGAGGCCAGGCCCCTCTGGCTCCCAGTCCTGGCCCCGGGGACCCTGCCCCTGGTCCGAAGCTCGGGCCCCTCTGCACAGCCCCTCTCGGTTCTGACTTGGCTATCTTGCTTGCTTTCTCAGCTATCAACTCTCCCAGTCTGTCAGGTGAGACACTTCCACCCACTTTTCCTTCTTAGGGACACAAAAGCACCCCTGGTGGGAGGAAGGGACCCGAAGAAATACTCGGAGAGAACATGGGATGGAGGCCAGCGGCTGGAAGGAGAAGCAGAAGGGAGCAGGGCTGGGCTTGGACATGTTTGCATCCAGGATTTATTCTGGGCCTTAAAGGAGGGGGACAAGGGTGGGGCTGGGGAACACCTCTAACTCAGGACCTTCCTCCTCACTGTCCCCAAAAGAAAGTCCAGGCTCACCCGTGTCCCCTGTTCTCTGGAGCAGGTGTCCTTCACCTGAGATCCATGGACCCCCAAAGGATCTGTGTACAGAATTTAGGAGGGTCTGTGGATCCGGAGCCTGGACGGCACACACTCCTTTATTTTCCCCAACTTCTAGCGGAAATGTAACGTCACCTTCGATGGGGAATGTAGGCAGCCAAGCACAGTAGTGTGGTCGCTACCTGGGACTGTCCCCAGAAGTCTGAGGTTTGCACATCAATCACCTCAAGTTGCAGCCCTCTCTCCATACCAGTTACATCCAGTAGCCTTTCAAAACCACGGTAGTTACTAGACCGAACACCAGATCTCCTGATTTAATTAGACAACGAAGAAGCCCACTTACTGTAACGCAAGTTTGTTTAGAAACATGTGACAACTCTCAGTATAACTGATTTTCTGTGCAACCTTTTGTATTTCACTTTGTGCATCTAAAATTGTTACTCCGAGATGGGGTCCTTGGACTGCACTAGCTCCAGGAGGTCTGTGGTGGCACAAAAGGCGAAGGAGTCCTGATCTGGGCACAGTTAGCCAGGGGCCCTGTTGCCTGGCTTCTCAAGCCTTGGGATCCTGGGCCCACTGCTGGGGAGCTCCCGGGGGTGGCAGGGAGGCAGAGCCGGACCAGAGGACCCCCGGAGGCCGACCCTCTGTGTCTCACCCCCACTCCCCGCCCGTGCAGACAACACCTGCCACTTCGAGGATGAGAAGATCTGTGGCTACACCCAGGACCTGACGGACAACTTTGACTGGACTCGGCAGAACGCCCTAACCCAGAACCCCAAGCGCTCTCCCAATACCGGTCCCCCCACTGACGTCAGCGGCACCCCTGAGGGTGAGGACATGGCCTATTGCTAGGAATGAGGACTGCGTCAGGGGTCTGGCCTCTGGGAGCCCAGTCTAATGGGGGAGACACAGCCCTGCCCTTAGGGAGCCCCAATCTGGGGGGGGGACACAGCCCTGCCCTCAGGGAGCCCCAATCTGGGGGGGGACACAGCCCTGTCCTCAGGGGGCCCCAGTCTGAGGGGGACATGCCCTGTCCTCAGGGAGCCGCAGTCTGAGGGGGGACACAGCCCTGTCCTAAGGGGCCCCCGTCTGAGGGAGACACAGCCTGTCCACACGGAGGATCAGGAGGAAGAGCTTCAGCAAGGCTAAGGACTCGTGCAGGCTGGCCTAGACCCCGTGCTGAGAGGCTGGGAGGGCAGGTGGGCTGGGCAAGGCTGGGAGGGTGGGTGGGCTGGGCAAGGCCCCTGGTGTTTGTAGCTGAAACCATGGCTGAGAAGGACTCGGGAGGCAAGAGGTCTGGGTGGGGTGAAGAGGAGGCTGTTGGTGTCTCCCCTCCCCCACAGGCTACTACATGTTCATTGAGACGTCCAGGCCCCGGGAGCTGGGGGACCGGGCGCGGTTGGTGAGTCCCCTGTACAACGCCAGCGCCAAGTTCTACTGCGTCTCCTTCTTCTACCACATGTACGGGAAGCACATCGGTGAGTCAGGAGACTGGGAGTCTGCCCTGCATGTTGGGCTGGGGGCGGAGAGGGGGTCCCCAGGAGGCTAGGCACTGCCACACGGGGCCTGGCTTTCCCAACGTGGATGAATCCCAGATCCTTGGAGGGTTGTGGGCAGAATCTGTGCAAAGGGGGGGTCCAGAGCCAGCTCGTGTGGGGTTTTGAGATGTTCAGGCTGCCAGAGTCTGGGGGCAAATGGCAACAGCAGGATGAGGTGGGGTCACGAGGGGATGGAGGAAACAGCTAAGAAGTCGCTTGTACCGAGTGTCTGCCAGGTGCCACGTGACATCCGGGTGCTCTGCATCTGTGGTCTCATCGTCCCTCACAACCACCCGGGGAGGGCGGTGCCTGCGAGGTTAAGCACCCACACAGCAGCCCAAACCTGCCTGACTCCCAGACCCCAGACACAGAGCTGGGAGGGTGCTGCTTTGTGTGCCGTGGGAGGAAGTCTGCTTCCTGATGTGGGTGTGACCTGAGAGTCCCTGAGGGAGAGGTGGCACCGGCAGTAGCGTCATATGAACCGCTGAGCTCGTCTGCGCAGCCTTGGCCGCAGAGCGCGGCCCTGTGCCGGCCCCAGGAGCTGCAGTGACCGCATGGACATGCTCCCTGTTCTCTCGGCACCACGGTCAGGTCAGAGAGACAGACACTGAGCAGCTAACTGTGCCAGATGCGATTTAGTGGCCACTGTGGCACGTGCCCGCAGCAGAAGGAGAGGGGCCAAGGCCGCTGGTGCTGGGGGCCGACTCGGGCCTGGTTATAGAAGACTCTGAGGAATTGACAACTTAAAGAATTTCATGTGTTTGCTTGTTTCCTTACTTATGGGAGAGGTAACATATTCTCTATGGGTCAAAAGGTGCATGATGAGAGTCCCGCATCCCAGTCCTCCTGCCCCCTGTAGCCCCACCCCAAAGGCAATCATTGTCCTAGATTTTTGGGGAAATTCCCAGGGATACTTTACGCATATAGAAGCAGTACACATTTATTACCCTCCCCCCCTCCAATTTTACACTGTCTGAGTCTTGTTTTCCCTCTGAACTGTGCGTTGCAGTGGCCGTGCCTCGCCAGGCCACAGAACACTTAGTTGTTCTCCAAGGCTGCCCAGTAGAGGAGAGACTTTAAGCAAGTGTAGACCTAAAGGCTCACCATGGAGGAGTCCGCACAGCCCGCATGACGGGTCAAGCTGAACGGGTGAACTGGAATGGGGTGGGGTGGAGGGTCCTCGTACCCTGGGCCCCAGACCATCTGCACAGACCAGTTTGCCCCTGGCTGGCTCTGGGCTTTGTGGGAAGCCTCCTCTGGGGTAGGTGCGGGGGGACTGACCAGGGCTGCCTGCTCTGCCCTAGGTGTGTGTGTTGGGGGTGACCATGGCTGCCTGCTCTGCCCTAAGGGGGCGGGGGGCTGGGGTGACCAGGGCTGCTCTGCCCAGCCCTCTGTTTCCATTTGCTTCCCAGCTCGAGTAACCAATGAAACCAACTCTGCTTTGCCCAAGTCTTTCCCAGTTTTATAGTGAAAATCCCACAACCCAGGAAAACTCAGAGAGTTGGTCATTTTATCCCCAACTCAGGAGGGGCCTGGGACCCAGCTGCCAAGAGGAGGAACATGCAGGGTGCAGTGGGCCCCCGGGAAACCAGGCCTTGGAAGCTGGGATGTCAGGTGTGTGGGCTCCAGAACTTGTCCGTGTTCCCCAGGACGTGGAACGAGCTGTCAGGGGAAGCCTCTGGGGGCAGATTTGATTCCAACTGAAAGGACCCTGTAAGCATCAGATGTGCCCAGCAAGAGGGGGCTGTCCTGTCCCTGGACAGGAAGACTGTCCGCGGGGGTGCTGTGGAGGGGACCCCTGTCCATCCCGTGCGACTCCCGGCTCTGTCCCCTCCCCTCCATCTTCCCCAGGCCTCCCATACCTGACTGGACCCTGCCTGCTTCTCTGGCCTCATTTTCTCCTGCTCTTCCTCTGGCGACCACGTGGGCTGAGCACACGGGTCTCCTTGCGTTTCTTTAAATATTCAAGGCAGGTTCCTCCTGCCTTAGAAGCCTTTGCTTATGATGTCCCTCTGGCCTGGAACCTTCTTCCTGTCCCCTCACGCAGGCTTCCTCAGAGAGGTCCCTGGCAGCCCCTGAATTATTTTCTGTCCAGTGCTTGCCACCAAGAGAGCGCGCACGGCAGGGTCCTTGTCTTACTCAAGGACGTATCTCTGGTGCCTAGAATAGTGCCTGGAACATCGTGGTGCTCGATTAGTTGAATGAATGATAAGCCCCGAGGTAACTTGGAATCCTGAGATCTCATGGAAGTCCTCTGTCAGTCCTGATGACAGTTGTGAAAAATTCTCACATTTAATTCTTGAGAACCAATAGCAATTGGATGCAGACTTTCCCTCAAGGAGTCACAGGAAAGAGAAGATGGGACTCCCAGTAACTGCCATGGCCCTGCGCGGAGAGCGGGCGGGGCCTGGGGGCTGCAGTTTGAGGGCTCAGAGCTCCCTGGAAGCGTAGAGAACTCCCAGCCAACGCCTGGGAAGACTTCTGGGAGGAGGCGACCATTCAGAGAAATCTGGAAGCACAGGGAGGGTTTGGCGAGGGGGATGTGGTCGGGAGGGGCATCTCAGCAGTGGGAGCAGCCGAGGCAAAGCCCAGAGGCTGGAAAGCGGGCGTATGTCCAGGCTCCGCCATGCAGGCCCATTCCCCATTCGGCTGAGGAACACAGGGGAGAACGCACTGAGCAGGCCCGCCCTTAAGGGGGTTTGAAGGTCGACACTGAATTCTGTCAGGAAGCCCCTGAGCAGGGAGATCTTGGAGCTAATGGGGGGCTCAGGGAAGGGGGCAGAAATTCAATTTTTGTTTGAACAGTGAAAAGTGGGGTTCCCTTATCAGTGTCCTTGGGACAGGGTGGTGCAGGAGGAAGAAAAGGTATGAATGAGGCTGGACCCCAAGTGGGGTAGGGACAGGGGGAGATCTCCAGGAAGGGGGAGGGAAAGAGGTCCCTTTGGGGCTGGTGGGGAGCCCGGAAGGCACTGGGGCTTGAGCCTGCTGGAGTCAGTGTGGCACCCCCTGGCCACTGGGTGCTGGTGGCAGCCCTCTCGTGGCCCCATCTGCTGGCGAGGGTCCCCTGCCCAGGCCTGGATCTGCTGCTGGGGAAAGGGGCATTTCTTGCTGTCCCAGTCCCTCCTCTGCCCTCCCCGCCCACCCTACCTGGCAGCTCTAGGCACCAGCTGTCCCCAGACCTTGTGTTTCGAGGGCTCTTTTTGGTCCAAGCCAAGTCCTTTCATCTCAGCAGGTAACATTTGGTGGCTCTCCCCCACAGGGGGTCTGTCTGTCTGGTGTCACAGATGGTGTGGCTTTGTCTGTGGGCAGCTATGCCAGCCACCCTGCACCGCCTGAGTCCACTCCTCTTCCCTCTGAGCCGGGTCTTTTATGTCACTGGGGGCTCAGGGTAGGCTGGGAGAGCCGTGGATTCAAAGGGCTAGCTTTATTCACATCTTAAAACATATAAAAGTATTAAAATTGTAGTTTGTTGCTGTACTTCCAGAAATCATCCCACGTATCATGGGTATGCGTTGTGTGTTTTGGAATCCTGCTGTGAGCGCAGACGTGGGCCCATCATCCTGGGACCAGTTCCCTGTCGAGAGGGCGGAGGGGTGTGTGTGTGTGTGTGTGTGTGTGTGTGTGT